TCTTTCTGAATTTGCATAGCCTATTATCTAATGTGGGGAAATCTAAATGTCTAATAGTGATTATAATTTATTTTTTTTCAAAATGGAATATATTTGCAGTAACATTAGAACCCTGTGAGCATTTTAGTAGCTGTTAAGTACCTCAATTATATGCTAAAATACATATTTTATGAATGCATTGCAAACTTTGGGCTGCATTGTTTTTAAAAACAGATATTACATTTTTTTTGTTATTTATACAGGAATCTTTCTCCAACATAAGACGTTTTATGTTTTCACACAGATCACAAATACATTTTTGGATGTTCCGCATGCTAGGTAGACCCTGTTTAACTATGAAAGTAAACCAAATGTAAACATTGTTTCACCTGGAATCCATCTGTGATTCTCTTGTCTTCACAATCTGTCATCTGTTTTTCCTCTGTGAGTGCTTTATCATTTCAGATGAGTGCTTTTGTTATGTTTCCCCTCCCCCACCCAAATTTACACTTAGTGGTAAGTGACATTGCCAAATCCTCAAGTTCAGCCAGGCAGATTTGACAAACTATCAGCTGAGCTGAGACACTATACTGATGATCAGGGTATGCAATTAACAGAGACAGCTTTATTTCACAGTGCTGTGACTCTTGCTTTACTACTTAGAACCTCACAGTTATGGATTTCAGTTAGTAGCCCCCCCAAGAAAAAATTTCCAGCAGATAAACCTGTCATATAGATATCAAAATTTTGTTTAGCTCAACCATAAAGAATCTCCTTCTGTTCAAGTTTGATTTAACCTCTGTCCTATGGTACTATATAGTTATTTCATCCCAGAATGTTTTTAAATAGGAATCTCTCTCCCTCTCCCTCTTCCTCTCCCCCTCCACCCACACCTATATTCATTCTTTCTTATACACATTTTTTAAAAACATATGTGAATTTTTTCATAGTTTTACATTTATACTCAATTCACATTATTTTTTTTAAAGGAATAATATAGGTTATTTTCCCCATAGGTAATAACTTTTGTTAGTTTAGATGCTGGCGCAGTTGCCTTTCAAAGCAATTATCCATTACTAGTCAGACCTATATATTGCAACAAAGTCTTTTAAAATACCATTTTACTTTAGTGTTTTCCATATTTGGTGATTTATATCAGATGTCAACATTTTACAAGTTAGCACTATTATTTTCAATATCTTATTTAATCTTTTCAGAATCACTTTTGAATTCATTTATTTATTCATTTTGTGTACCATAAAATAACTAATATTTCAATTTTCCCAAAATGGTTTTTTTTAAATAAGAGAGAGGGAGTTCCATCTTGACCAATTAATTTCCATTCAAGTATAGAATTAAGCTGTGATTGACCAGATTCCAAAATCAAATGTATATTATATGTAACATTTCACTGTCTACTTCATGCTGAATGGTATGTGGAATTGATAGTAACTATCATTAGAGCCTTCACTTTTTTTGCAGGGACAGGAGGTTGTATCCATACTATTTACATATGTAGTGAATTTAAATGACCTCTCATCTGTATTGCATATGTCTGGGCAGCTGACGATACTTAAAAACAGATTAAAAACAATAACAAAATTATCAGTAAAATAAATAGCAATCAGGAAAAATAATCAAGTAACAAGTAATAATAACTTGCAACAGGTAATAGAACCAAGATACACACACTATCACGATATTTAATGATCAGCCCATCAATTTCTCTAAAACAGCTATTGACAATGGCTCTTAGAAGAATGTAGACCAAGGGTCTTCAAACGTGGCCCTTTTATGACTTGTGGACTTCAACTCCCAGAATTCCTCAGCCAGCATGCCTGCCTGAGGAATTTTGGGAGTTGAAGTCCACAAGTCATAAAAGGGCCAAGTTTGAAGACCCCTGATGCAGACAATTATAACACAGATTATTTTTAATGCATATTTCCTGTATATATAAACTATTGCTTCCCATTGGGATATAAAAACAGTAGTGTTAAGAATTGAGTTTGATGGCCCAATCTTAGGTGATTAAATGAACTCCTGACCTAATTGAATTTATTTGCTAACCTCAGCTATTTCAGAATAGACATGATTTTAATTAGTAAACAGATTCACCCCCCCCCCCAGTTTTGTTTCTAAACTCTTAGATTAAAAGTTCTGGGAACTGTTAAGGCCTTTTCTTCCTGACCTAAGATTCTAATCGTTTTGTGAATGGCAGATGGTATGAGATACAATCTGACTCCTCGTTTATGTTTCCCTTCTGTTCTTTTCATTCCTTAACTGACATTTTTGAACAATAGACCATTTTGGGGACAAAGTTCTGGTGTCCTAAGTGCTTTCTGTTAAATCCTTTGCGAACAACACTTTCTCTTAGTAGATGTGACTTAACTTTTATTTTCATTCTAAGCTTTTCAGTCATCATGTCTTTAAATTAAAATTGCGTTGTTAATCTGCTTACTTAGAAGTAAGAACCAGTTAATGTAATAGACCTTCTGAATTGACATCTATTGGATTGTGCTGCCAATTTAATTTAGTTACACCATAGGTTTTTGTAAGCTATTTGCCGTGGTGGAGATTTGCATATATATTAGCTTTGTCATCACTTGATGATTTGAATGTATCTATGATGATTTGATGTGTTTGCACAAAAAAGGTTGTAGTCAGTAAAATTGACTGGATATGGGAAAAGGCACACACACACACACACACACACACACACAAATATATATTGAGGAATAATGAAAGAATTGGTGTATTAAACTATGATATTTACGAGCCATCATTTTAAAATGTAAAACTAAAGCAAGACCTTTTTCAGGCAGAGATATTTCTCTATTGGGTAAACAACAGTGAATGAGTCAATTTTGATAGACATTATGAATATATATATGATAGTTCCAGTATTATTCTCCGGAAGGAGAAAAACATATCTGAGAAATACTTGACAGGTGATAGTAGACGTTTGCTGGTGTGCAGCCAGAAGATAGTTCTATTTGAAAATTTCATTTTCGTTATTGCAGAAGAACCATTAAAAGTCCTGTGTATACTTTTGCATCCAGTGTAATTATTTGATGGAAACATACAGTACATAGCTTTAAACACTACTGCTATTTAAAAGAAGTATATGGAAGATTGCTTAGTTGAAACTATTAGTGTGACTAATTATTAGTGTTCAGACTTAATTCTCTCCCACCCATTTATTGTAGATTTCTGGGTCTTTTTCTTGCACTGTTTTGTTTTTTCTGAAGTCCAGTAAGTATGTTTTCCATACTGATTTAGCTTGGGGATCTAGGTTGTGTAATGGTTATGCTGATTTCTTAATGTTGGTTCTATTTTTTATTTTTTTTGTGACTCAGCTTCTGAATGTGTGTGTTGTTTTTATAGTTATGTGTTTTAATAATTTTTTTACTGTTAGCTGTCCAGAGTCATGAATTTGAAATAGGTGAAAGTATAAAATGAATGAATGAATGGATGGATAAATGAATGAATGAAAGAAACATTTTATGGTAAGGTGGTTATCATTGTATAGTAGCTACTTATATTTCCTGCAGCTTGGGACACACACCATATACAGATCTACAAACACATATTTATATATTAAATGCCATAGGAAGCATACGTTACCTTTGTACAGTTATAGTAATAAATGACTATAATTGTGGTGATAGTGATTATTACAAGAAACTAAAGACTGGCATGGCCAATGCATTTCTCTTGCACTCCCCTCCTAATTTGAAAATAATTCTTTTGTTGATGGCCTGTCTTAATAGATTCAGCTTAAGCATGAATCCATTACTTTGATAACTTAGTTGGCCATTAATACTGTTATGAGGGACACATATTTAAAATAATACATGTTTGTTTTATTTTCTATGAACAAAGAGCTGCTCTGAACCCTCTACTTGGAGTGTTGCTTAAGGAGCAGTCCTGGTGGATTTGTCTTATATACATGCTCAGAATACTGGGAAAGATTCTTCCAAGCAGCCAGGCTGAGTCTTCAAAACACTGTTCATTTGCACTTTGTCCCTTCAAATATTTTGCACAACACAATTGTTTATTGTTGATTTTTTTCAGTTAACTGAACAAACTGCACTTGATTATAAAATGAATATTTCTTTTACTATGGGAGAAGGGATGAGACTCACATCTCAGATCATTACTAGCATAAAGATAATATGTAAAGAATGGTTATAGGAGTACAATCTTTTTAAAAGATATTTCTGTGGTTATAGAATTGTGAGGGTAATATGATCGCAATAAAAATTGATATTAAAATTCATGTCACCTCAGATTGGATATAAGCTGATGGAGAATACTGAAAAGTTTCATATCCTACTTTTGAAAATTGCATAAAGTCTTCAAGTACAATGTTTTGAAAATCTTCACAACAAATATGTAAAACAACTAGAATTAATAATATATATTATATGAAAACAGGTTTTTGATTAAAAAATTGCTTGTCCAGCAATTTTTTGTGGCTGCATATAAATTTATTAAGTAAAATAAATTCATTTAATTCAATAAGGTCATTTATAAACTGGCTTTAGAACAAATAAACCTATAAATCTGGACTGCAAAAGTCTGAATGAACACTAGATCAAGGGTCCACAACCCCCCGGTCTGTGGACTGGCACTGGGCCGTAGCATGCCAGAAACCGGCCACACAAACAATTGAAGCTCCATCTGAGATATGAGGGCAGCACATGAAACCATGCCCCATCCAGTCCACAGAAAACCTATCTCCACAGAACCGGTCCCTGGTGTCTAAAAGATTGGGGGGGGGGCACTACTCTAGATGATAGGAAAGCAATATAGAAAGTCCTACCATTTTAGGGTGATCTTTTGCAACCCAGATTTGTGCAGTCTGGTGCTCTAAAATAATACAATTCCATTTTCAGACAAAAATGTAAAAGTTTTGAATGTGTTTATTAAGAGCACACATCATATGTTTTCTATATACCTGATACTGTTTAAAGCAAGTTATATTTAAAATAATACCTGTTTGTTTCCTTCTTTCCTAGCCTGTGGACGTGGATTCTATAAGTCATCTTCACAAGATCTGCAGTGTTCCCGCTGCCCAATGCACAGTTTTTCAGACAGGGAAGGATCTTCGCGATGTGATTGTGAAGACAGCTATTACAGAGCACCTACTGACCCACCCTATGTTGCATGCACAAGTGAGTTATTCTTGAATTGCTTGCTGTTGCTTGGCCAATCACAATCATTGATTTTCCCTTCCCCCATTTAGTTCTGTATAGCACAAAAAGCAACAGTAGGAACATTTTCAAATGCATTTTGCAAAATAGCAAAACTGAGAAAATAAAAAAGAAGCAAGATAGAATCCAATAAATTTAATGGCTGGGTTTTTCAGCAAAACCTAAAGAAGACGCTGAATAAACACATAACTGAAGGAAGGAGAATATGGTTCTTATAAATATTTTCAACATGATATATCTAAGGAGGCTCAGCATTGAATTAAGAATTTCTGAGATGAAAAATGTGCCATTGGTAGGTAAAATGAGGACCCAGATTGTTGGGGGCAATGTAAATATATATATATATATATACATTGCTTACTGGTGTACACCGCTTAGAGAGTGCTTGCACTTAAAGCGGTATATAAGTCTCATAAATAAATAAATAAATAAATTAGTGAATATTTGCAGGTTTCTCAAAAACAAAGCTGTGCTCCATGTTCTTGTAAACCACATTACAGAAGATTAAAAAAAATACCTAAATTTATTCCAACTTAAGCATTTCGAAAGGAGCAAAAAACTCATTTTGAGGAATTCTCCGTGAATCAGCTTCAGAGGCACATTAACCTATCTTTTAATTTCAGACAAGAAAAGCTGCAAAAGGTCTGAGTAAATACATAGAAAGTACCTTTGTTCCTCAGTGGAAAATAAATATGGCTTCTTGTCAGCTGAATTCAAGTAGGGTTTTTCGGTAGTGTCTAGTAGACAAAATGGAAAGTTTAAAGCCTGGCAAGCTTTAGCATGGGTAATTAAAACATAAGCTAAATTTTCCCTGCTGATTTTTCTTTTAATCTCTACTTCCCCCTCCCCCTCCCTGTTTTGTGTTTGTATTTAACAAAGGACCGCCATCTGCACCACAGAACCTTATTTTCAATATTAACCAAACTACAGTGAGTTTGGAGTGGAGCCCTCCTGCTGATAATGGAGGAAGGAATGACGTGACCTACAGGGTATTATGCAAGAGGTGCAGCTGGGAACAGGGTGAATGTGTTCCCTGTGGGAGCAATGTTGGATATATGCCCCAGCAAACTGGATTAGCAGACAACTATGTCACCGTCATGGACCTGTTAGCTCATGCTAACTATACTTTTGAAGTTGAAGCTTTAAATGGTGTCTCTGACTTAAGCCGTTCCCAGAGGCTTTTTGCAGCTGTTACCGTTACCACTGGTCAAGCAGGTAAGTGTTCATATTTTAGTATACATAGAACAAAGAAAACTATATTGTTAACAACTGAGAGGAGGCATAACTCATTGCACACAAATGCATCAATCTCTACATTGCCAGTAGCACGTGATTGGTGTGATGCTGATTGCATAGGTAGCTTTATGTCAGAGAATTTGGGTTTCTGATTGCCTGACGTTTTCAAATTCTGAATGGTTGCCAGCCTGAATTTTAATGCAGATTGACTAGCTTACCAGTTAGGCTAGTTTACTAGTTAGCAAAAAGGCAACAACTATGCTTGCCTAGGCATCACCATTTTGGTCAGTGACTTTAAATCAAATCTGATAAATAAAATATCTCTTTCTGCTATGTGGAATAAGATAGAACTGTTAGCTTTATATAAACAATGTAACAGCTGGGTACTTTGCAGCTCCATTAATTGAAATAGATAAGTTAAAGGTTTGCTTAAATTTGCTTCAGTGGGGCTTCGAAGTGCTTAATGTTGGTTGAATTGTCCCTTATGAGTTTAAATTATTTTTGCATGTGTTCTTAATTTATTAAGGAATGTCTAAAACAGAAATACCATGATTTACTAAGGCTTTCACTGTTCAGTCAATGTGCCTTAAAAGTATTGCCATCTAGTATATTTTCAGAGTTATATTTAATTTTGAAACAATTTGAAGCCTTCAGTAAATACCTGATTTACCATAATACAATCAGTGTTCATAGTGTTCTTCCAAGATTATGCTTCCAGTGTATTTCGTAGCTTCAGTTATTTTATGATGAAATTCAGTGAGACTATAACAATTATTCTTTGCGGCTTATATTTATGATAATCTGACAGGTGAAATGTCAGGCAAAATAATATCAAACTAGAATGTCCCCAAAGGGAAAAATGTGTTTTTAGTGATTTTGCATATTGAAATAGAAAACTTCCTATTCAGGTATGTGAAATAATAAATTGCTTGTTGATAAAACAGTGATCTGAGAATGCTGTGTTGTTCGTGCCTTTTTATTGTTGGGGCAGAAGAGATTGGTAACCATAGCTGCTTTCTGAGATTTCAGTAAAATTCCTATGTGAAGTATTTTTTTCAAGATTCAGGTGAATATCTTTGGACTGAAGAACTATTTTGCGAATATTGAATATTAGGTTATGCTTATAGTAAGCAAACTGTATTCAGAGAATAACACAGGATCTACATAAGAGATTAGATGAATTCTTTTTCTTTTGTTTCATTATTTCTTTTTGTTTTCCCATCAGTCTTTAATCAGACATTTATGCAACCTTATCTTTCCAAATGTTATTAGCAAGGAACATCACATATGCAATTCCCATTTAATCCATTCTTTCAATATGCCTGTTTTCACGTCGTGTAGTAATTCTTGGAATAATTTTAATGCAGAGCCTTATTTTATTAAGCAAAAATGTTCATGCATGTGACCTGTTAGTAAATAGTTAATATTTCACTAAATAGTATGTGTCAATTAGTCACATTGATTTGCTTATGATAATTTCTCCTTGCTCCAGTTTAAGAAATAATCCGAATAAATAAGAAGGAAAATATACATGATCAAACTAAATTAAGTATTGAATTAAAGGCCTTTTCCAGCTGTTGAGTTACAGTAAAATAATTGGTGTAAATTTTGCCAAGCTCATATGCTTCATTGCCTCTGTTTCAAGGCACCACAGTCACTTGATTTTCCTTCAATGCATGATGAAAGCTGCCTTTAGACAGAACATAGAACATAGAACCAGGGCTAGAAGGGACCTTGGAGTCTTCTAGTCCAGAGGTCCCCAACCTTTTGGGCGCCAGGGATCGGTTCCATGGAGAGAGGTTTTTCCACAGAGCGGAGGGGGCGTGGTTTTGTGCGCTGCCTGCATCTTGCGCAGGGGGCTTTGCTTGTTTGTGTGGACCGGTTGCTGGTATGCCGCGGCCCAGTACCGGTCCACAGCCTGGGAGTTGGGGACCCCTGTTTTAGTCCAACCCCCTACTCAAGGCAGAAGACCTTATGCCATCCCAGTCAAATGGTTGTCCAGTTTATTTTGAAAATCTCCAGTGACAGCATAAGGCTAATAGGGGAGTAGCATAAAGGTTGGGGAGGGGGACTTGCTTTTATTGTACAGTTAAGAATGACTCAAAGCTATCTTATTCATGCACTGGGGACAAAATAAAGATAAGATTATGAGAACACAGAAATAATAGATGTTGGGAGAAATAATCTGATCCTTAACTGTTATCCTTTTTAATACCGTTGCTTAGCCTCTACCTGTTGGGAAATGGGAATAGCAACATTGCAACATTGTGATTGTGATTATTAAGAAGATCTAACTTTCTTCATTAGAGAGTTTCATAATTTGGATTCTGCCACACAAAAGATCCTGAGTGTTTTTGTCTTAAAATTGGCTGGGGAACTTTTCTGGGATTTGAAATCTACATATCTTAAAGCTGCCAAGTTTGAGAAACAGTGTGCTAGGCTCTTGATCAGTTTGGTTGTTCTCCTCTGCAACTTTTCTTTGTCCTCATCAGTTGTCTTCAGGCTCCTAAAGCTGTGTACCACTACTTATGCCGATCTGGGGATATCTCAGTAGCGCTTCTGAGGCATATACTCCTCTGTTATTCCATTTAGAGTGACTCTCGGATAACTCTCAGCTACCCCATCCTGAAGAAATTTCTGGGCAGAGAGCACAGCTTCCATTTCTCCTTTGGATAAGAACTAAAGTATACCCTCTCAGTTTGCCCATTCTTTGCCTCTGTTTGGTCTGTTCACCTTAAACTTGTAGCTGAGGATTTTGACTTTTATCTGTACAATTGTATTATATGTTATTCTACTTCACCATTATTGTACTCCTTGTCTTGTGTTCTTACATTTTTATCCCTTGCTACATAACTTATATTTACTTAATGCAGACTGTAATATAGATTGATGGATCTATCCATTTTAATTTTGTAGGATTTATTTTCTGGACCTATGCCTAATATAAATTATTTGATTTGATTTGATTTGATTTGATATCAGCAGCTGTGGAAAATTCAGGAGAATAAATCACAGTTTGCATAAATCACTGTATTCATACAGTTTCACCCAGATATAGGTATTTTAATTGAAAACAGTATGGTCTATGATTTTGAGCGGTTAGGCAAGATACAACCCTTTCAAATCACTTATGTCCTCCTAGATAGGAAGACAATCTCACAATAAGTATTAAATTAATTTCAATCAGTCCACTACAAATTTATTTTTTTAATTAAATCTTCTCTTCGATTAAAAAGGTAAGATTTATTTTAAAATATTTCTTAAAGCAACCTTTTACTGGATTCACATAAATTAATTAATTAATTATGTTATTTAGGCCTAAACCTAACATTGAAGACATCATGACCATACTGTCTATATCAACTGCAGCATTTAAAGCTTCATTTGTGGATTAACCATTTTTTCCCGTGGAACAAGAAAAATGAATTGCAATGTGCAGAAGGATAAAACAACAAAACAGCCAACCAAATCAAAGGAAACCATTAATTTAGCACATTGGTGGAAAATGATGTTATCTGATGATAACTTGCTGAATTTAAATGTGCATATGTATTTTGTCCATGGTTTTGTCATGTTAATAGCCAGGTTTTCAGAATGCCAGTTGATATTGATTTTCAATACATAGACATCCTGAATCTCAGCATCAACAGGAACTAAGGCCTTTCAGACAGTAAGCATTGTGCACTATGTTCAAAAAAAATAATAATCCATTTCTCTGTTATGTGCATGGAACAATTCATGAAAGAAACATTTTGTACATCCTTATTTAGAATCAATCATTCAGTCCATGAACAAAGAAAACTTTTCACTCCCTTGTATATCATTTCATTTTGCTTATACTAAACTGTGTATGTTATGGTAATCCCTCTTCTCTCTATTTTGCATCTTTTATTATATATTTTATGCTTTGACTACCTCAGTAATTTAAACATGATTCTGGATCATGTAAGAACAAGTTTAAATAAACTCTCCCAATATAGATTGTTAGCCGGGTCACTATATATACATTCATTGGTGGCAGATTTTTCCATTTACTCCTACTCTCTGTTTTCTTTGTTTTAACCAGTTAATAGATCACATGAGAACCTCTTGTTTCATTCTGTAACTTAGGACTTTTTTCAGGACTTTGATGGCTTTGATGAACTTTGTCAAAAGTTGTTAATCTGAATAAACTACCTCCTCTGTCCACCAGTCTTTCTTTTAAAACTTATTGAGATTCTCAAAAATTCTGAAAGATTAGTGAAATTGAGCATAAGTGTTTAGAAGCGTCATTGATTCCTTTTGTAGGAGTCTTGTCTTTACATGTATTTTTAATTAGGCATCTTTAGTGACTAAAGATGCCTTTTAACTATGTATGTAAATAAATAAACAAACCCTTTATTATCAAAGTATAACATGTATACAGTGAAATTGGCTGAGCCTCCCTCTGTGCCTCCCCTCACCACAAACTCGTGATGACTACAAACCCCCAACTTATTCCACCCTGTGAGATAATTGCGCATCACGTCGGCCTCACGAGTCTGTGATGCATAAGGTTATAAAGTTATGTCCCATTCAGAAGCCTAACAGCCCATGGATAAAAGCTGTTCTTCAGCCTGTTGGTACGGCTGGCTATGTTTCTGTATCTCCTACCTGATGGTAGGAGAGTAAAACCAGAGTGTGAGTCATCCCTGAGAATTTTCCTCACTCTGCCAAGGCAACAGGCCCTGGCGATGTCATCCAGTGGAGTCAGAGAACAGCCCACAATGTCTTGTGCTGTGCTCACCACCCTCTGCAATACCTTCCTGTTTGCGCCTGTCAGGCCAGCATACCAAACCATAATACAATATGTGAGAACACTTTCAATAGTAGACCGGTAGAAGAAGGTCATGTATTCAGTTTAGGCATCTTGATGCACTAACCACAGTTAAGAATGCTAAGCTACCCATTGTACATCCAAACCATTTTCTAGAGATGCTTGTTTATATTTGTTTCATGTT